CCGCCCAGGAGGCCGGTAGGCCGCTATATCTTCAGGAAGAGCGGAGAGCTCTTCCTCATTTGCGGCGTGCAAGGATTGGCGACATGCTGCTGGAGCGCTAGCGCTGGTCTGCTACAGCGCTAGACGGAGGTGAAGGCAGCTGGGAGCTCAGCCTGGCTATGGCGAGCAACCCMGCCTGAGGAGGAGGAAGAAGGGGKCATGGTGGGAGAGTGGCAGGGCACTTACCTGGCTATGGTGGACACCGTCTTCATCACCTTGTTGGGCGSTGCATCTGGAAGGCCCCAGTTGGGGTAGCSGTGCACCAAGGAAGCTCAAGGCAGGGTCAGGCATGGCTGACCAGTCAGCAGCGGCATAGCTGCTCTTGGGTTGTCCTGTGGGCATCAGCGCAGCATCATARCTGCTTCGTGTTGTCTTTTKGACAGGAGGGCAAGGCCCTCATCAGTCCGCCATAGCCTATGCATGAGAGGGAAGGCTGAAGGAGGGAAGCCATAGCTATGGTGGGCTTGTTGTTGTTGTTGTTTGTTGTTGAGTGAGTCAGAAGTAAGAGGGAACTTCGGATATTGATTCTGGTTCATCCATTCATTGTTATTATTATTATTATTATTATTGAGAGAAGAATAAGATTGGCGGATTGAAGGAGGAGGAGGAAGGTGGAGAGAGAAGGGGGAAATTGTCATTGGTCTTCCTGGTGTACTTCTTCTTCTTCTTCTTCTTCTCTGTGGCCAGGCCTCACAGGTAAGTGCCGTGTGACCTGGGTAAGCCCGTGGGAGGTTGCTTCGTGCTTCATGGCCTGTTGGGGGTGTGCTGGGTTCTCTTTCTCTTCTGTGTGGTCTTGGTTGTGTTTGTGAGCATGTGGATTGCTTTCTCACCTGTAGATGGATGCATGATGTATCTGTGCTAAATGACATATCTTTCTACGGTGCATTGTCTTTTCATTTCTGAACGGCTGTAGGGGCGAGTTCTTAATGAAAGTTGTCTTTTCCTTTTCAGTACGGTAAAGGCAGTTTGGGACTGACTTGGTACCCCTATCACGTTGGACCAGGTCCACGACCTACTTGGGACCCCTCGGGACCCAGTGGGACCAGGCCCAACGACACAGGACCTTTTAAGCCCAGATCTGTTGCCGCCGGTGCATTACTTTGCTGTGCTGAACTTGGGGGACATACGAACAGCAAGGGCATTCCTTTCAAGGGGATCTTGACTGGCCTTACCGCATGTTAGCACATACTGCCCCGCGTCTGGCTCGGCGACCGTCTGCA